CACCTCGTTTCACCTCGTTTCACCTCGTTTCACCTCGTTTCACCTCGGCACCTCGTGTGGCACATCGTCGTTGCTGTGTGGCGCCGCGTTTCGGGTTCGCTTCGATCGAGGATCTGACAACCCACTCGCCGGCAACAGCAGCAAAGTACCCCGCAGCGGTCCAGGATTGACACCTGGGTGGGTGGACGAAGATGAGCTGAAAGGAACGGAGCCGAAGGAAGCAGTGCGAGGGTTCAAGTCAAAATGGTTTAGAGATCTACAGAGACCTGAGTAGGATCAAAATGTGAGTAGGAACCGCCTCGGTTCTACAGAGACCTTTAAAGATGTAGTGACAGTCGAAGTGTGAGTAGGATCTACAGAGATTGCAGCGATGATCTTTCAGAAGACCTGAGTAGATGTCATGCCGAAATGAAAGCCTAGCAGCCTAGAAGCATAGCTTGAAGAGCTCTGACTCTAACCCGTTGCAGAGCCGCAAAATAAACTGGAAACAACAAAATTTGTTGGTACCAAGCAGTCTACAAGTTCCGCCAATCTTCACTAGTCGTAACTTGGACTGTCCATCAGTCTGGCTCAAAATACGGGGCATCCCAGTTCGATAAAGGACGGAGAAAACGGGGAAGGAGAAGTACCTACAAGTACGAGCAGTTCAGGAGCCCCTCTTCAGTTTGAGACGTCACCTTTGATAGGAAGTCAACATCTCTCGAGCGCGTCTTCGGCCTCGTCATCTTCGTTCTTGCCACGGCGGTGAGAGATGTCCACCCTGAAGGATTGTGCTCGCTCGCCGTGTTCGCTGCATTCTCTGTGTCTCAACACTCTTCAGCCTTGCGGTGGAACCACCTCACCGACCTCACCTCTACTCGCAGCATGGAGGAAAAGCCTCTGTCCGCTTCCAGATGGAAAGCCCACTGTTTGTCTATGGGAAAAGGTTGTCCAAAATGTCTTCCAAGTTGCCAGCCATTTCCATGTGTTTGGGTGGAGAGTGCAACATTCAACCTCGGCTGAACTGGGGGTCCCTACATATTGCTCTGGAACCAGACCAGCGCGATACAAATGCTGAGCACGCACAAGCCCGCCGTCTGTGCGGCCATGCGTTCACCTGGCAAAACCAGAACATTTATTCAACTGCCTCCTTTCCACCAAGGAGAAAACTTGTTGAACAAGGGAAGGGAAGGGAAGGGAAGGGAAGGGAAGGGAATGGAAGGGAAGGGAAGGGAAGGGGAAGGGATTGTACACCACCTGAGATGGAGAAAAGAAAGGCACGATTTATTGCGGTCTCTCCTTCAAGGAGCTCAAGCTTCAAAGCCGAGCCTAAATGACTTGCAGCCAGCTGTGATGTGCCAAAATCACGTGAACTCCGTTTTGCAATCCAGCTCATTTCCCATGGCCTTTGTACATGTCTTCTTCTTTCTTCTCCGCAGGTGTCTGCACGCTAGAAGTGGCTGCTGCCTTCGAGGTGGTTGTTGCGCTCACCTGGTCGAGAGGGCCATTTCTGGAGCACAAAATGCCTGCCAACATCCCCCAAAGTTGCCAGGACAGTTGGGGGAAGGGGCTCTCAAGTTGGGATTCAGGTTGGCCCAAAACCATCCGGAATCCCAAAACCCAGTTCTTGGGCTTCCTGGAGAAAGGAACTGAAGGAGCCCCGCCTTGATGATCGCCGCTTCGCTTTTCGGAGTGGTCTCTGCCTCCCGCGAGGTCGACCCAGCTTCGCTCCAGTCAACCCACCAGAGTCCCTTCGTCCCGTCCATCTCCAGGCATATGGCAGACGTCCTACCGATTTTTTCCAAGGTGATTGGAGCGGCATCGTGTTCATAGGACACATGAAAAATCAAAACCAGCGGCATCCTGCGGAACACCATCGTCTCTGAAAACCTGGGAGGCTGCGGCGGCGACAGCCCGAGCACCTTGGGAGCGCAGGTGTCTTCAGCGAACTTTTCGGGGGAGAAAAGCGCATGTTTGGTTTACCGCAGCGGTTTCTTTTCGTCAAATATGTTGGGATTGATGGTTTTTTGGAGCGTTTCGGTTTGTAGCAAAAACCATCTGAAGCTGGGCCTGCAATCCCAGACCTGGACTTCAGATCTAAACCAATGCAAGGCCGAATACGTCCAAAAAAGTCGTCTTCTTTGTTCCAAAGAGACTGAATAGAAAGAATCAATTACTCTTGAAACAGCGATGGAACCGCGATGGAATGAGGGCTTTTGGAAACCCGGCCCGACCATGAACATTAAATTAAGTGTGCCAAGACCCTCAGAAAGTGTCCAGCAATGTCAAACACTCACCTCACGCAGGCCATAACCGTCAAAGTCTCTGATTGACATAGACTCGACCGCATCACACCGAAATGAACATGAAGCCGCCAGAAAGAAAACCCCCCTCTCTTCTGCACAAAGAAACTTCAACTCCTCGATCCAAGTCATCAAGTCGATCTTTGCAAAGTCCCCAGATCATCCGCCATCCCGGCCATCGCTCCCAGGCTTCCCGGCGCACCACGGCCTCCTTCGCCCGCCGCGCGGACGCCAAGGCGCGGTGCGCCGCCGCGGCGTCCTTTTTGGCGCGGCGCTCGCGCTTCAGGAGCTCGGTAGACGGAGCGTGTTTCAGAAGCCTTCTTTGGAGCAAACAGTGTCTTGAATCACCAGGGTCTTTACATGTCTTTACTAAATATGGTCATATGGTCCCTACTGGATGTGCGTTCTTTTGGAACACCAAGCTCTCCGGCGATGCTCAAAGGTTGTTTCATCTTCACACTGTCGACGACTCGCCAGATGACTCGTTGCATGAGGTTCTTCATCCACCCATCCGACCCCATCCTGAAGACTAAAAAGAGATGAACATTGGTGCCCACTGATGCAAGACATCACCTGGGTGTGTGTGAAAGTGATTTTTTCAAAGGGGGGAGACCTCCCAGGCACCAGTCTACCCAATTGGGGTGATCGGGGCTCTCCCTATGAACATACACACCCACCGTCTCACAATCTCCTTGGACTCCACAGCGACGGTGGCGAGGTTGGCCGTGAGATCTCAGCCACGCACCGTAGCGCGGCAAGAAGCGTTTTGGACACATGTGGCGGTGGAAAATCCAAAACAGAGTCCACCGAAATCCAAGGGATCCAACGCATTCTACTTTGTAAACTCCAAATATATAATTCTTTCTACCCTGTTCTATAGCTAGGTTCAGGCCTTATGACCTCGTTGTGCGGATGCACGTCTGGATGTCCCGATCAATGTGGCAATGTGTCTTGCCCACGGGCGTGTCCCGGAGTCTGGTGAATGAATCGAATCGGTGGTGGATTTCAAGCCATGAAAGGATCTTGTTTGGTTGGAGATTGTTGGTATGTACTTTGTTCGGCCGAGGCCCGCGTAAAAATTGCAAGAATGACCTTGACGATCAAACTTGACGGGTCAAACTTAGAGTTGTGCTCTAAAGGTTTAGAGTGTGCCTGGCAAGGTTTAGAGTGACCCTCCTTAAGGTTCAGAGTGGCGCTTCTAAAGGTTTAGAGTGGAACTACGACGGTTTAGAGTGAAGCCTCCGGAGGTTTAGAGTGAGGCCACACAAGGTTTAGATTGGAGCCGCTAGGGTTTAGAGTGAAGCTGTGCAAGGTTTAGAGTGAAGCTGTGCAAGGTTTAGAGTCAGGTATGCGAAGGTTTAGAGTCAAAAGGGCCGTGTCCTTGAGCACCGACCCAATTGATTCATAATAAAAAGGAAACAACGGAGGGTGCAATGGCTGTTGAAGTCAAATTTGTTCCACACTAAACCGAAAAGGCAAAGGATAACAAAAAAAGCTTTAGAGTGAGTCCTGCTGCTCGGCTCCCCCACCATCACGGCCCCGGCGGATCCAGGCATCGCCCGAGTGATCCGGGCGAAGCCACAGCGCAGCCTGCTGCGAGAGGCCTCGCCCGGTGTGGAGACCGAGATCGCTCGCGGCGCGACGCGTTTCAGACGTCGAGGGAAGCGAGAGTGGAGAGTGAAGGTCAGTGAAGGTGTGTGGTTTCTTTTCACGAACCGGAGGGAAGAGGTTCTTCACCTCAGACGTCTTTTCAACCCTAGACTGGTGCTCCCCCCTAGACTGGTCTATGTCCCCCTAACAACCAGCAGCTCGTTGCCGGTCTCCCCTGTAGCCCGGACCGGGCTGCAAGCAGCTCCCCCGCTGGGGCCGCGGACTGACCGCCTCCTTGGCCGCCCGCTCCGCGTCCTCGGCTGCGAGGGCACTCCGGCGCGCCTCGGAGCTGGGGGCTGGCGGAGGGGGCCACAGTCGGGGAAGGCTGGAGGAGGAGGGTTTTTGGGGGGATCAAACTGTTGGATTGAATGAGGATTCCTTGGAAGAGAATGACCAAAAGGTGAGGAATCTCGGAAATAGCGGATGGCTGGCGCGTCGCGTCCTGTGGTGAATGAAACAAAATTGCCATCAACGATAAACTGTCAAATGCTAAAGGTTGGCAGTTTCGACCCCTGTTTAAGCAGTCCGGGTGGCCCTCTCGTGATTCTCGAGCACATCGCAAAATGATCGGTTCCGGGACGTGATGGACAGCTCTAACTAACTGGACCATGAGATCCAACTGCGGTGGGCCAGGAAAGATCCGCGGCAAAGGCCCAGGATGGTTACGGTCAATAGCTCATCCGCTCAGTCCAAGCCACATGAATCCGTGCTAGGCGCGACCCACTTTGCACCTGGCAAAAGTTCGTTCCAGGCGCTTGCGTGCAAATGGAGCGACTCCCCTTAGACCTACCGGTGAATGGACATGACAAATGACAAATAACCTCCGGATCAGGTCTCCCATCGCGACGCACAGCCAAAGTGATCCAAAAGGTGTCTGCAGTGGGAAGCGGGCGCACCTGGTTCTCAGACCCCCCCGTCCCTCACTCCAACATCCCAAGCCTGCGCAGTGGGAAGCTTTGCCCCTCTCTGCGCCGACAGGATCTGTCGAGCCTCAATCCATCGGGTAGCGGCGCCAGAAAGGAAATGGGCATCCGGCCCTTGGCAGTTCGGTAAACCTCAAACAAGTCATGGAGTTGCACAGCAACCGTCTTGAGGTTGAAGCGTTCGTTCTTCTGCAGCTCGAAAAGATTGAGTCCGTTTCGATAAAACAGGGCCCGACCCTGTTGAAAACCTGCGCCACAAATCCCACAGATCCTCTGGGAAATGAGAGAACAAATACACAAAAAAAATAATTATACCGGCATAGACCCCAGATAGCACTTCAAGAAAAGTTGGATAGCATGGCAAGAGCGGGAGACAAGCTTGGGAGATATCCCACTCAAAGCCGGAAAAAAGGATGGAAAAAGGTAGACAAAACCTAAATCATCTTATAACAGCAAGAGCGAAATCATGAAAGAGCGAAGTTATGAAGGGAGACAAGCTTGAGAAACAAGACGGCAGCGGCAGCCAAGAATGAAATCATGAAGGGAGACAAGCTTGAGAGACCAGGCGGCAGCGGCAGCCAAAAGCGAAATCATGAAGGGAAACAAGCTTGGGAGACAAGGCGGCAGCGGCAGCCAAGAGCGAAATCAT